TGGCCAACGTGGGCCTGGCCGCGCAGCCAGCTCTTCTGCCGAGGGCCCGCCAGCTCGCACAGCTGGCACACCGGCTGCAGGACAGCAGTCACTGAGCGAGAAGTTCGAGTCCATCCGCCAGAGGCTCGCACTATTCGACATGGCGCGGTGGGCGGTGCTGACTCGGTGGCATCAGAGGGACGATCGAGCCCAGGGGCGCGCATCTTGCCGCGGCGGCCGCTACCCTTGCTGCCGCTGCCGCAGCCCCAACACGGACACCCACTACAGCGACTCGGCTACCCTTGTTGTCGCGCGTGCTCCCTCAGCGGCGGAGGTCAGAGCTACGGCGTCGGCTGGTCTTTCCGGGTCTTCTTCGATCGAGTTCGCAATAGGTGTTTCCGGGTATTCTTCCGTTCACATTTCCCTTGGCATTTCCAGGTCTTCTGGGGCAGGTGAGCGGGGGCGATCTGCGGTCGCTGCCCCCGGGGCGCCGCAGAAGAGTCCTTCGCCGCTTGCTCCGTCAGTGGCCGCAGAGCGCCGATCCCGGGAAGCCGCCTCGATGGGGAGGGCGCGGCGGCAACGGCGCCCAGGGCTTGATGAATTTGCGCCGCAACTGCAAGCTCCCGCGCCCGGTCCCCGGCAGCCCCCGCGGGGGAACGCCCGGCGGCGCCGGGCGCGTCCGACCCCCGGGGGGCCCCCGCGCGGGGGGCGCCCAGCGGCGTCGGAGGCAACGACGGGCGAGGCACAGCTTGCAGCCGCGCAGGCACTCCGACCGCAAGCTATCTTTCCAATATTTTCCAGTTTGCAGTTGCGGCGAGGGGGGCCTCCTGCCGCGGGGCGGTAGGCCCGCGCGCTCCATGGGCGACCCCGACGTTGACCCCTTCCACGCACTGGGCAACCTCGATGATGGAACTCAGCGCGCTCCCGAAGCCAGTCAGCACGAGGTTCGAGTGGCCCCCCGACCCGCGGGCGCCCCGGATGCAAACCCCCGCGGGGGCGTGGACATGATCCATTGAGAAGCAGACGGGGCAGTCAAGCAAGCTGGGGAGGGGCCCCCCGTGACTCCAGAACCTGAGGAGCGGCGGCGTCCCTCTCCTCTCTCCCTCTCCTCGGGCCGGCGCCTGCGTCGGCGGGCGGCGGCGGGGACGACGATTTCCTTGTCTGGGCCGGCGCCGGCGCCTGCCGCGGCGGGCGGCGGCGGCGGGGAGCGTCGACGAGGACGACGGTGGTGGTGGTGGTGGTGGTGGTGGTGGTGGTGGTGGTGGTGGTGGTGGTGGTGTGTTGTTGTGATGGCGGGGTGGTAGTTGTGGTGGTGGTGGTGTGGTGGTTTGTTGTGGTGGTGGTTGTGGTGGTGGGTGGTGGTGGTGGTGGTGGTTTGGTGGTGTGTTGTGGTGGTGGTTTGTGGTGGTGGTGGTGGGTTGCGGTGGTGGTGGTTTGGTGGTGTGTGGTGGTGGTTTGTGGTGGTGGTGGTGGGTTTTCGGTGGGTTGTGGTGGTGGCGGTGGTTTGTGGTGGTGCTGGTGGTGGCGGTGGTGGTGGTGGTGGCTTGGTGGTTTGTGGTGGTGGTGGTGGGTTGTGCTGCTGGTAGTTGTGGTGGTTGTGGCGGTTGCGGTGGTGGTGTGGTGGTTTGTGGTGGTGGTGGTAGTCGTGGTGGGTTTTTGTGGTGGTGGTGGTGGTGATGGTCAGTTGCGGTGGTGATGGTGGTGGTGGTGGTGGTGGTGGTGGTGGTGGTGGTGGTGGTGGTTGTGTGGTGGGTTGGTGGTGGTGGTTGGTTGAGGCGGTGGTGGTGGTACTGGTGGTGTTGGCGGTAGTGGTGGTAATCGTCGCTGCGTCCCCGCTGTCGGCGCTGCTGGCGGCCGCCAGCGCCGGCGCCAGCGCCAGCGCCAGCGCCGGCGCCAAGGGGGGGGGGTTCGACCCCCCCCCCCGTTCCCGTCACGGACGGGGGGGCGGGGGGGGTTCGACCACCCCCCCCCCCGGGCCAGCGCCTGCGTCGGCGGGCGGCTGGCCGCGGCGGCGGGGACGATGATTTTCTTTTCTGGGCCGGCGCCGGCGCCTGCGGCGGCGGGCGGCGGCGGTGGGGAGCGTCGACGAGGACGACGGTGGTGGTGGTTGTGGTGGGTTGTGGTGGTGGTGGTGGTGGTGGTGGTTTGGTGGTGGTGTGGTGGTGGTTTGTGTCGGTGATGGTGGGTGGAGGAGGTGGTTTGGTGGTGGTGTGGTGGTAGTTTGTGGTGGTGGTGGTGGGTTGTGGTGGTGGCGGTGGTTTGTGGGGGTGGTGCTGGTGGTGGTGGTGGTGGTGGCGGTGGTTGTGGTGGTGTGGTGGTTTGTGGTGGTGGTGGTGGTGGTGGTGGTGGTGGTGGTGGTGGCGGGATGTGTTGCTGGTAGTGGTGGTGGTTTTGGCGGTGATGGTGGTGATGTGGTAGATTGTGGTTGTGATGGTGGTGGTGGTAGTGGTGATGGGTTTTTGTGAAGGTGGTGATGATGGTGAGTTGTGGTGGTGGTGGTGGTTGTGGTGGTGGTGGTGGCTGTGGTGGTAGTGGTGGTGGTTGTTTGGTGGGTTGGTGGTGGTGGTGGTGGTGGCGATGGTGGGCTGAGGCGGCGGTGGTGGTGGTAGTGGTGGTGTTGGTGGTAGTGGTGGTAATCGTCGCTGCGTCCCCGTTGTCGCCGGCGCGAGCGCTGGCGCTTCTGGCCGCCGCCTGCGCCGGCGCCGCCGCCAAACGGGGGGGGTGGTGTTGACCCCCCCCCCTTGAGCTGCCTCTGGTCATCGTCGCTGCGTCCCCGCCGTCGGTGCTGCTGGCGGCCGCCAGCGCCGGCGCCAGCGCCGGCGCCAAGGGGGGAAGGGTTTGAACCCCGTCCCCCCTTTAGGAAGGGGGGCGGGGGTTGGGTAGGGGGGGTATTGGGGGGGGGGGGAGTCCCCCTGGTTTGATCGACGGCGCCGAGTGTTTGGGGGGGGGGGGGGCCGTCCCCCCTGTTCGAAACGCGCCGCCGAATGTTCCCAAGGCAAGCGTCCGTGAAACGCGCCTTCCCTCATACATACACACGCACTCTCGTTGTCAGAGGACCGTTGCCAAGGCATCCAGGTTGCAGGACCTTCTGTGCGAGCAGAGCGCGAACCAACCGAGCCACCCGAGCCCACACGGTGGCATCCTCGCCGCACGGTCGAAGGACGCCGCGGCATCATGTACAGCGACGGCGGGCGCGGAGGGGAGCACCGCGGAGCAATGTTTGGAAAGTGGCGCAGCTGGTTCGCGCCGCCTCGACGCAGCGGCGGCCCGGCGCAGGCGTTCAAGGCGGAGCGCTGCCAACAGCTCAGAACTGACCGACATCGAATGATGCACGCTATCAACACGACAGTTCAAGGTTGAACACGACAGTTCAAGGTTGAACAGTCCACGAGGCGTCAGACACCAACGCCAGAGTCGCCGCGACACGAACCTACTGTACACAAACCATCGTTGTAGATACGAGGGCAAAACATGGAAGAGCAAAGGAGCGCACTCGGCACAGCACGGCACAAACACCGCCAGTTACACGCGCATCGAGTCGGAAGCGTACGAAGTTAGTCTTCCCATTCTACCACGCACGAAGGGCTGGTCGTTCGTATTGATAGGCGGGGGCTGAACATTGTAGTCTTTACCGAGCCAGAGAAAGTATGGCAACGTTGTAGTTGATAACCGACGTGCAGGACGTGGTCGATCACGACATCGACTGGTACGAACAACGAAACTTACGCGGCGCCGGGGCAGTGGTGTTTGCCGCGATGGCGGCAAGGACAAACATGATTCCCGTTGATGAAGTTGGCGATCGTTGTCCTATTCCTTGTTTCGCCGATCGGCGCGGGCCCTCGCACCCCCCCACCTCCCCTCCCTGGACGCACCGTTGCAAACAGTCGCATTAGGCAGAGGTCCGGAGCCAGACCCCCCCCCTCCCCCCCCTTTTCCGCCCAGTGTCGAAACGCCGAAAAAGAAAACGCTCACTTGCACGGAGGACCGCGAGCATGGCTGCGAGGACACATACGGGCAACTAGCTGCTCTCACCAGGTTGGCGGGGATAAGCCGAGCGCACGGGGCCACCGTAAGAGAGGTAATCCGCCCTGTTCGGTTCCGAGCGTCGGGCCGGACGAAAGGGGGGGATTGGGAAAGGGGGGGTTACGAAATTTGCTGCATGCAGCTGGTTTCGGCCCCACCGAGGGGCCCATTCCTCGATACGTTGCCGCCTCCGGCGCCGGGAGGCGCCAGGAAAATCAGCTACGTGAGCTGATTCTCAAACCCCCCCTTTGCTATCCCCCCCTTTCGCCCGACCCGAGAGCGGAAGGGCGTGGTGGCCTTGGCCAGGGGAGCGGGTCGGGCCGACAGTCGAGCGGCCTCGGTTGGGGGGAGGACGATGGAATAGTGTGAGGTAGAGCAGGAGGAGGAGGAGGAGGAGGAAGAGGAGCTGGAAAAGGAGGAGGAGGAGGAAGAGGAGCTGGAAAAGGAGGAGGAGGAGGAGGAGGAGGAGGGAGGCCTGCCTCGGACGTCTTGGGAGCTCGGGAGCGGGGCCCCAGCGCTCGGTTTTCAGCTGCAGAGGAGCGCGGCCTCGGGAGCGCGGGCCTCCGTTTTGCCCGGGGTCGTGGCCTCGGGAGCAGAGATCTCCATGGCTTCCAGCAAGGGATCGTGGCCTCGCGGGCGCGGACCCACTGTTGTGTTACAAGGGATGGTGGCCTCGGGAGCGTGGGCCCATAATTGTTTGCAAAGGAAGAGGGAGGGGGGGAAATGCCTTTGGGTGGGCGTTACCCCGGGGGGGGGGGGGGGGATCGTCCTTCAACAGATTGCAGGACCGTGCCCGACGGCCTTTTGCATTCTACCACGCCTTAAAGTGCCAGGCGGCACGGCAGCGGTGTTGCCAGAGTTCGGGAAACAAAGTTTCTTAAAGCCGACGTTGTATTCTTGTGTTGTCGACGCCGGGCGTTTTTGTTTCCCATCCTATGAGTGTTGTCAATCACGCTTGTGTTCTCGGGATGGAAACAAGTAGTGCAGACCGCGTCCAGGAGAAGACTTGCACAGACCATGGCGTTCTCGTGCACGGCCTACAATGCAACCCAGGGGAAGTGGAAGCAAGCGCGACGGGCTGCAGATGAGAAGGGTTGTGGTGAGATCTCATGTGTGAAGGGGTGGTCAGTTCGGATGAGATGTGGCATTGTCAGAGACATTTACAGCGAGATTCGAACATCGAGTTTTCCCGATGCTCTTCGCCAGACTTGGACCTTTGTGAGGATTCTCGCCGCCACAGCCAGATTCCGTTCGAACTTCCGATCAACACACACCTCTGGGGAGTAGGACGAGGAGGAAGGGGAGGAAGAGAAATAGGATGAGGAGCCAGAGACGGTTGCGCGTGTTGATCGCAATGGTTAGCACTTATCCGCTAATGCGCTAGATAGACCTGATTGTGTTGGAGGGGTGATTTGAATACAGCGTCAACAGCATGGCGGCCGTCTTGGTTTGCATTCGGGCCCCAAGATCAAGGATTGCCGAACTCATCGAATACACTGGTGATCGCCGATGCCAATTACTACGACCAGCACTCTGGTCTTCAGTCCTCCTGACATTGCCGCACCTAGTTTCAAAGGCTGGTCGTCGCTCGCATACCCTTTCAACAAGGATGTGTTGAACATGTTCTCGTGACAACAGCGCCGGTGATTAGCCGCAGAAGCAACGGGTGTGAGGGAAGGTACGGTGGGTTCCGCCGCGTTGACGCAGCGGCGACCCCAACGTGGGCCTTCACGGCTGAAAGTCGCCGTTCGCCCAGAATCTGCCCGATATCGAACGGTCTGCGTTATCCAAAAGCCGCAGCCGTTCAAGGCTGAACGACCCACGCGATGTCAGAAATTGACGCCGATGTCATCGCGACGTCAGCCCACCGTGAGAAGCAGAGCATGCTGGAGCTTGAGCACGAGTGGTGATCATTATCTTACTCATTGTTTTGCCGATCGGCGCAGGCCTTCGCGCCCCCCCTTTCCCCCCCCAGAGTAGATCTTGGCTGTTTTTGGTGCCTGTTTCAAGCAGGTGGAGTCCCCCCAGTAGGACGCACAGTTTCAAAGAGTCGCAGCAGAGGTCCAGAGCCAGACCCGCCCCCCTCCGCCCCCCTTCCGCCCACCGTCGAGACGCCGAATAAGAAAATATGCACGTGGGCGACACAAGAAAACGGCACCGTCTGCGTTGACATAGGCGCGTAAGTTGCCCGCGTAAGGTCGCGCGTAAGCGCCCTCGTTTCCAGTGTGGCGTGCCGTGCTGGCTGGCGGCCCGCGTAAGCTGCGGCGTAAGGTCGCTACGCCATCTCGCGTAAGACCCGTTTTGGAATGTCGCTCACGTGATCTCTTTTGTTGCCCAACGTCGAGACGCCGAATAATAGAACATTCACGTGATCATTTCTGCTGCCCGAGGTATGCTTCTTCCTGTACGTCTTCTCCGTGCCGGCATTCCTGCAGTACCTGGTGCCTTCTTGGGCAGGGGGAGCCGCGCCGAGAGAGATTGACACCCGAACGGCGTCGCCCCCCAGGCCTTGGAATCCCCCCCGCTCGCGCCACAAGGATACAGTGGGGACCCATGCCAAGAAGCACCCTGCTTGCCTCCAGGGTGCCCTGGGTTCCTTGGGTTTCGGTGGTTTTGCTGTGGAGAGCGCGACGTTCCCAGACCAATAGTCAAGGGACGCCCTGGTGTCTCAGCGTTGGGTTTCTTGTGGAAGGTTTCTTGTGGACCGACCTTCAGTGTACCATGACAGGAGACCGTTTTTTCGCTCCCTGGCGATACCTGGCGTGATTGGGGGGGAAGGGAGGGGGCTGGTCACGTCACTCGAAGAAGAAACAACTCCATGAACCTAAACGTTTAGTGCTTCGCGCGGAGCGACGAAAGTTTGTGTTTATGCCGTTGCTTCTCATTCGAGATCACGGGCGTGACTAGAGAGAGAAGAGGGAGGGGGCTGGTTACGTCACGATTCGCGCCGGCGCTGTCTGGGAATGCTCAAGAGGCTCATTCCCAGACGGCGATGGCGCGGATCGTGACGTGACCGGGGGGTGCAAGGGCGGGAGGGGGGGGCGGGGCCGCTTGCAGGCGTTATCGCGAATAAGAATAACACGGGCTCCAGAAAAATCCAGTGCCGACCCCAGAAGGCAGCGCCGACCCAATATATGTTGTCTCTCCACCGCTGCGCCATGGGTATGCCACGCGATCGCGTTCCTTCTTGCCCCGAGCCGCTGCCGGCGGCGGCCGTGCACCCGAGACGCACATCCAGGGAAGGATTGGCCTTGCACTGTGTGCACATGGCGAGCCCCACCCTTGGGGTGCAACTTCTGGGAGGTTACGTTGATCATCGGCGCGGGTACATCCGCAGTCGAAAACCAGCCTAAATCCAGGCTCTTCCAGCTTAATCCCATTCAATCCGGCGTCATCCCTGGCCAATTCGGCTCAGTGGCCTCGCAACTCAGCTTAACAGCTTTGAATCGTTCGTGCAAAGACCTCCCACAAGGGCGCCCTCGAGGGCGCGAAGTTATTCGCGCTTCGCGCTTCGCGGTTCGGCTCCGATTCCTCATCCTCCTCTTCTCCCCTGGGAGGCGGCGCGAGAGCGCGAAGTTATTCGCACTTCGCGCAGCGCGAAGCGCGAAGCTGGGAGCCCTTGTCCCAGAAGTTCCCTCTTCACCACCCTCCGCCGATTGGCGGCGAGCGCCCCCGGGCCTGTCCAGGGGCGCGCTCTGGCAGCGGCGACGAGGAGCCCCCCGTGGGAGGACATGCGTTCAAGGTTGTGGTCAGCCTCCTACGCTCAGGAGGGAAAAAAAAACACACAGACACAATTAATCCTCGATTTCCCAGAAAATATGGGAAAATATGGGAAGGGGTGGGGAAGACAAAAACCCAGAAAATATGGGAAAATATGGGGGATATTTTTATTTGTGTGTATTTATTTGTGTGTCCCAGTTCCCCTTCATACGCATGTTGCACCATTCATTGAAAGGGACTTTAGTGGAGTCTGCTGATTTACAAAAAGTTCGTCGTCGTGAATTGCGTGCAGGTTACCAAGAACCTCTCACGTGGGACAGTGGCCTTGAGCAGGTTGATCAGCTGATTGAGCAGTGACTCAGCTCTTGCACGGGTATCTTGGACGAGAGAGGAGGAGGAGGAGGAGGAGGAGGAGGAGGAGGAGGAGGAGGAGGAGGAGGAGGAGGAGGAGAAGGTGGCGAAAGCAGCAGGAGCGGGAGGAGAGGTGCACGCGCCCTCGACGTTCAACAACTTGCCTTTCCACCCGGTGCCGCTGCAGACACTCAAGGGACAGGCCGCGCACGACCCATGTGTCGCGTCCTCTTTCCTCCGACTGGCCTGCCTCGTCATCACAATCCTGATCATCAGCATCATCACTACCACCACCACCACAATTGTCATCATCATCATCATCATCATCATCATCATCATCATCTTCATCTTCATCTTCATCTTCATCTTCATCTTCATCTTCATCATCATCATCACCATCAGCATCAGCATCAGCATCAGCATCATCATCATCTGCAGCATCCTCATCAGCAGCATCATCATCCTCATCGTCATCATCCTCAGCATCGTCCTCGTCAGCAGTAGTAGCATCATCATCGTCATCGATACCGCTATTACCACCAGCAGCAGCAACCTCATAAGCAGCATTACTAGTCTTAACATCAGCACAATCATGAACAGCCGCATCACCGTCATTGGCATCGTCATCGTCATCAGCAGCGTCATCACCATCCTCGTCAGCATCAGCAGCGCCAGCATCAGGATCCTCATCATCCTCATCATCAACACCATCATCATCGTCGTCATCGTCATCATCGTCGTCGCCATCATCCTCGCGGTAAGCATCATCAGCGGAGCAGCAGCAGCAGCAGCATCAGCACCAGCACCAGCATTAGCACCATCGCAACCACCATCATCACCACCATCTTCATTCTCAGTGCCATCATCACCACCATCATCATCACCGTCATCATCATCATCATCATCATCATCATCATCATCATCATCACTACCACCACCACCACCACCACCACCATCATCATCATCATCATCATCATCATCATCATCATCATCATCATCATCATCATCATCATCATCATCATCATCATCATCTGGTGGTTCCTCGTGTTCCTTCCTCACTGCTCCTCCTCCACCTCGGTTCCATGTTACCATCGCCGACATCAGCTCGGATGGCGCGCTCGCGTTTTTCTGCAGGCCTGGAAAAGCAGGTCGGCCGCAAGCACGGCGCGGACTCGTGCGGCGTGGTGCTGCGCGCCTGCGAGTAGGACGGGACGTGGGAGGGACGCCTTGGCGGCTGGAGCCGGCTGGCAGTGCCCACGAGGCACTGGGGGCACCAGCAACGATATGCGCATCAAAGTCGTCGGAGGTCCGCGCGGATTCCTCGGATCGGCGCTGGGGACCCCTGGCGGCGCCGCGCGCCAGGGAGGGGTTCCTCGGAAACTGGAACATATACATTAGCAGTGGCGGGCTGTTTTTCAATCCCAGGACTTTGAGGATTGGGGACGACGTCGGGGTGGTGTGGTGTCTACTTTTTCCCCCGCGTCCCCGGGGAAACAGCGAAAGATGTATACACCAGGTTTGCGTATACACCAAGATCCGCTTTCCTGGCTGCAGATATTTCAGTACAGGGCTGGAAAACTGTCGGTGTATAGAGTCCGTTTCCCAAGGTTCCGGCGCAGATCCAAGCAATCCGCTCGGTGTTTCAAGCTTGTGGCGGGAGATAATTCCGTGGAGTCGGTGCAGGGGCACATCAAGAACGCGATGCGCCGCGTGGGCAACGTGGTTAGACACAACGCCAGACGATCTGTGTGTCCGCGACACGCTTTGCTCCTCAGGGTCTGGGCCCGGCTGGCCGTCGCCGTCCATGTCGCGGAGTGGTCGAGCAGTGGGCGCGGCGGCCCTCGCGGCTTGCTGCGCGTGCAGCGGGGGCGCGCGGCCGCCGCCGACGGCCGCTTCGTCGCCGACGCCGGCGCCGACGTGGGCCGCGTGGGCTTCGGTGGATTGCCAAGCGGGTCCCTCTTAGAGCCGGCTGGGGGTTGGAGGTGGCCCAGCACTGCTCGTGGCCATCGCCACCTGGCGCTGCACCACCTCTGACGCTTCGCCGCTCTTCATATGTTTTTTGTTGCGAGGCTCATATGTGTACTTGTCTGGGTCAGATGCGGCAGTTAGCGGCGCCAGTGCGATCCCGGGTGCACGGGCAGGAGTGGCCTCGTCAGGCTCCAGAGGAGAAGCGCGCTTCGCACCCCAAGTGCGACGGTGTCGCCGTCGAGCTTCTGCCGCCAGAACTTGTATGTGATGCTGGTCCGCTTGCCGCCGCTCCCTGCGCGGACGCGGGGCGGCAGCAGCTCCGTCAGGCCTCCAATGCGCTCCATGACGAGGAGGGCTCTCTGCCACTTGCACGCGCTGTTCTTGCATCGCGAGCTTGCCAAGCTCGACGCGCCCATCGCAGAAGGCAGGCAGCGCGATGTTACCAAGTGTGCTCGACCTCCAGTCGCACGACCTGTCGTTCGGCGGTGAGGACGGTGCTGGGGCTATTTTGCTACGGTCGAGGACTCTCTGCCATTTGTCCCGCCAGTCGTGGTCGTTGGCGATAACAGTTCTGACTGACCTTTGCGTTTCTACCCCACTCCTTTGCGTGGGCCCGCAGCACGGCGGTCAGCCCCGCCCTCTTCCCTCAGTCACCGAGCTCAGCGGTGACCTGGACTAGCCACACCGTATTCTTTCCTGTCAGGCTGTCGCTGCGCTCTTATCGGCACTCCAGAGGGTTCCCTCAGTGCTCTTGCCACCTGCGCTTCCGCCTGGCATCTCGTTTCAGATGTCCTCCTGCTCGCGTGTATCCACGGGTACCTTTGCGCACGCAGCTGACTGTTGGACTGGCCGCGCAATTTGCTTGGCCCAGCTTGTGGCGAGGGAAACACGATACTGGCTCTGCCTCCTGGGTCGATCCTGTGGACTGGCAGCCCGTGGGCCATGTTCGGGCGCTGGCATGCTGGCACTCAGCTCGGCTTGCGGATCCTGCCTGATCCGACCTTTCTATATTTCGGGCCGCCCCGCGGGCACTTCGCAGCTGGGAGCGTCTCCTTTTTTTGGTTCGCCGGGAGTCCGCGTTGCCCACCTGCTTCAGGAGGGGCAACAACACACAGACACAATTGATCGGCGACTCCCAGGAAGAGAAAACATGGGAAGTGGGGGGGGGGAAACGACAACCCAGAAGTTGTTTTATAAAGCCTGGGCAATCCTTGGATTTGTGTCTACCTACTTCTGTTGTGTCACAGGGCCCCTGTTAGTGCTGCTGCACCCAGCTGCCCGCGCTCGGTCCGCTTCCGTCGCAGCCCCCAGTGTTCCTTTTTCTGGTTCCGCGGGCGGTGCCTGCCGCGTTCTGCCGCCGCGGAAATCGGCCCGCACAGGTCGATGTTAGGGTTTCGGAATCCCCCCTCCCAGCCCCCCCATCGATCCTTGATCCCGATCCTCCTCCTCCTCCTCCTCCCCCGCTTCCGCCTCCTCCTCCTCCACAATTCACAATTTAAACATATGAGTACTACTCTCCTCTCTCCCATGGTGGCGTCCGGGAATTGGCCGGCCCTCCTCCTCGTACTGGCTTTTTTTTGTTTAGAAAGATTCCCAGGAATCGGGTTTTCGCTTGGGTATTTTGTCGAAATGCTGCTCTCGCTGACGCGCTGGCTTCATTTTTGGGCTACCGCTCGTTCCGAATCGTGTTCCCGCTTCCGCGCTCTATCTGCAGCGCTGGCGTAATTATTTCCAGCACCATGCCATTGCATGGTTTCGGTCCTTCCAAAGAGGCCCGAATATGAAAGTATGCATCCCGAAGAAGCCATCGGAAGAGATTACACCTTCGGAGACGATTATTTGATTTGTTGGGCCGCAGAAGCCCCCCCCCTCTTTTTTGGGCGTCGCCACGCCATGCTATGTCATGCGACGGGTGAATTTTCAACACCATGCTACACCATGCAATGTTATGCCATGCTGCGACATCCGATTGTGCCAGTTGGGAGGATGTTTGCGCCATGGAAAGGGATGGGGGGGAGGGTACGACGTCAGATGTGACGCGAGGGCACCTACTTGTCCTCCTCCTCCTCGTCCTCCTCGTCCTCGTCCTCCGCCTCCTTCTCCTCCTCCTCCTCCTTCCGCCTGGTGTTTCTCTTTCCTTCCAAGGGCGGCGATGTCGACCGAGAAGAAAGAAGACGTGGGCCGTGTGGGCTTCGGTGGATTGCCAAGCGGGTACTTCTTGGAACCGGCTGGGGGTTCGAGGTGGCCCATCACTGGCTCGGCGAGCAGGAGGAGGGGGAGGGGGTTCGAGGTCCTGGGTCCGGGGCAAGTTTTTGTCGTCTGCTTCGGCCTCCGGGGGCCGCTTTCGGGCCCCAGGGCCGTGAAACAAGGATCCGGGGTGAATCACCGCACCAGATGGATCCCGGGGGGGGGGGGGGTCCGGGAACCGATTTTGAGCTAGTCTGGCCTCGTCCTCCCCCGCCTGACTTGTGTTTGGCAGACCCAGCCAGTGCAGACCCCCTGGCTGCCTCCAGCTCCACACGTGGTGGGGCCAGGAGGAGGCGTTGGCCTGCAGAGGAGCCTAGGGGGTGCGATGACGAGGCTGCTGCGCGCACGCGCGGGCAAGCGGGCCAGAAGACCAAGGGGAGCGAGATCGAGCTGCCCGAGTGGGGCTCCGCGAGACGAAGGGCTGGCGCCAGCGGCGCCGAGGGCCTCGCGAGTGGCTGGTGCTTGAGCCAGGGCGCCCACGGCACGAGGCGACCGAGGCCGAGGGGTCCTCCGTGCTCCCTTCAGGCTGGGCACTTGCTCGAGCTGCCCCCGACGACCCACAACAAATCTCCCCCTTGGTCGGCGTCGGCCGCCCCCGGGGCGGGCCGAGGTCGAGCGCCAGGCTGGAGCGCTCGGGCTGCGCGGCGAGGAGCACGCCGCGCTGGCACGGGCGGCGGGCCGCTGCCGGAGGCGCCGCACGCGCGCGGGCTGCCGCCAGCGGCGCAGGGGCGCGCGAGGGCGCGCGAGGGCGCGGAGAGGCAGGGCCGGCCACGCGGGGCTGGCCGAGGGGTCGTGGCGCCCAAGCCCGAGATCGTCGAGCGCTTGGACCCCGATGCACCGATCCAGCGTCACGCCGAGAGCCCGGGCCTCGCCGAGCACCCGCGGGGGGCCTACACGCATCGGCAGAGGCCGCCGAGTGCCCTCGCATCCTGGAGCAGGCCGCCAGCGGGTTCGGGGCCGCTGTGCGCATCGCCCAGGCCGCGGAGGAGGTACCGGAGATCGTCGAGAGAGTCGGAGCCGCGGACCTGCGGCCCCGATGGGTACTGCAGGAGCTGCATCTCTGGATGCAACGAGAAACTACTCGACGTCCCTGCTGGTTCACCACGGCAGGACCCTGGAAGCGGCCTGCCTCGGGTACGTGTGGCCGCTCGCCGAAGCGTCTGAGCGCAAGATGCACTACGTACGTCTGGACCACACGGCATGGATGAGTCGGTTCCCTATGGAATGCAGCGAAATAGTGCAAGGCCATCCACAAGACACGTGACGACGGAGAGGCAGATTTTCGGCGGCGAGCGAGGGGGGAGGTGAGAAGCAGAAGGCCTTCTCAGAAGGCGGCGGGACTTCTTAGAAGCGCCCGTGCCTTCTGAGAAGTTGTCTATGTCTTCGGGGAAGGCTAAGAAAATGCCTCAAAAGGCCGGGGGACTTCCGAGCCCTCTGAGAAGGCCCGCCTCTTCTCACGTCCCCCCCGCGCTCGCCGCCAAGTTGTTGTCAGGTCAGCGTTTGCGTGGGGGCCGATTTGCTCAGCGACGTTGCGTGGCCAAGTGCCGGCCAGGGCTGTGGTTGCGCGCCCTGGCACCTTGGCGAGGCACGAGCCCAGGGCCAGGGGCAGAGGGGCGCAAGCGCACCTCGGAGGTCAGGCCCGCGTGGCGAGCCAACGATCGCCCTGCCAGGGCCCGCGGGGGATCGAGCAACAATCGTGAACTCGGGAGAGTGCCCCTCTGCTGGAGAGATATCCAACAATATTCCCAGAATAGTCTGGGGACGATTCCTCTGCTGCTGTTGATTGGTTTTGATTGTTGTTTGGCTATGTTTCACCTGTCTTGCAAAATCCGCCTGCAGCAGGACATGCCCGACCTAAAGCACTCATGATCCGGCTCTTCCTGACTCGGCCACACGCAGAGGGGAGCAGGGGGAGGCGGAAGGCTTCGTAGCAGCACCCCCTGCTTCTTAGAAGAAGCGGGCCTTGTCTGCAGCTGTAGGGCCGGCACCCTCTATGGAGCAGCCTCCTTCTGAGAAGCCTTCCCCCTCTCCCCTACCCCCTTGTGCGCGCCGCCGAACCATCCTCCCCTGAACGAAGGATTGCAAAAAAACCCAGGATTGCAAAAAAACCCAGGATTGCAAAAAAACCCTTGAACGAAGGATTGCAAAAAAGAAGGATTGCAATCCTTTGCAATCCTTCGTTCGAGGGTTTTTTTGCAATCCTTCGTGAGGCTTCGGGCCACGCACAGGCAGTCCCCCCAGGCAGACTCGGCCGGCCTCCGCAGGCCCCCCCCGAGCAGTCCCGCCTGGCCGCAACGGGCCCCCCCGAGTAGCCCAGGGCGGCCTCGACACCCCGGCGCCGCCTCCGGCGACGCCCCGGGGGGGCTCCGCGCCCCAGGGCTGAGGTGTTAAGACCGCCCTGGACTATCGGGCCGGACGAACCCAGACCCCTCGAGTCATGAAAAAATCACGACGCGAGGCTTTTCGCTATTTTCGGCCTCCGGGGGCCCTTACCGGCCCTCAGGACCGTCAAAAAACGACTCAGGATGAAAAGCCGGTCCCGGGGAATGGGTCCGGACCTCTGGGGGTCGCGTCATGAAAAAATCATGACGTCGGAGGTCTGGGAAAGGGGGGGATTGGGAAAGGGGGGGTTACGAAATCTGCTGCATGCAGCTGGTCTCGGCCTCACCGAGGGGCCCCTTCCTCGATGCATGGCCGCCTCCGGCGCCAGGAGGCGATGGGAAGATCAGCTACGTGAGCTGGTTCTCAAACCCCCCCTTTGCTATCCCCCCCTTTCGCCCGACCCGAGACTACTCGGGGGGCCTGTTGAGGCCAGCTGGGACTGCTCGGGGGGTCCGTGGAGGCCAGCCGGGAATACCTGGAGGGCTGTCTGTGCGCAACCCGAAGCATCACCTGCTCGTCAAGCTCCTTCTGCACCCTGCTGTTGCTCATGCGTCCGCGCCTGCCACTGTCCCATCTTACACGTTATCTTGCCATGTGGTTTGGTGATGGTCGGTGGTTGTGGGTGTTTGGCATCCGCCGGCTGGTGGCACGATTTTCTCTTCTGTCGTTTGATGCCTGCGTCGGAGCCTCGTTGCGGCTACGTGGGACTCCTCTTGGAGCCCTGTTGAGCCCTCCGCGGGGCCCGCATGCGCCCTCTTCGGCCGCAGGAGAAGTTTGCTCGCAGACCGACAGGCAACGAAAAGGATTGCACGGGAAAACAACAAGCCCAAGACGTAGACAGCACAGATTTCCGCGATGATTGTTTGCCTTACCTACTGCTCTGGTCTGTCGTGCTTGGTTGGCGTCATTCTCGCGATGGACTTTCCGCGAGCTCCATGACTATCTGCATTGTCTACTTTCTTCAACCCCGCCTTTCGCCTCCTCTACTTCCTGGTCTGGCATTGGCATTACATGCAATACCAGGTGGGGGGCGTGTCAGAAGTTGTGCCCGCAGTGCTAAGCATCAGGAGTGAGCGCTTACTCGGTGCAGCATTGTACGAGGTGCATTTAGGCACACCAGTGCCCCAATGCCTGGGTGGTCGCGAAGATTGGAAAAATTGCTGCGGCCCCCGACCCCAGCTGTCGCGTGATGCCAACGTCAGTAGAAACCACCTTACGTGTTCGAGGCCAATCAGGTGACGAGGTTGGCTGGGGGGGAGGCCAAGTCAAAGGGTGCGGACAGTGAGGGAGCGTGCGGGGGGCGCGGGCTGGACGCCCACGATGCCCGTGCCTGCCCCCGGCCCGCGTCCCGAGGTGGCGAAGGTGAACATGAGCAACCCGCCCCAGGCGCCTCCCTCCTGGCCCTGAGAGAGGGGCGACTGCCGCTTCGGCAGGCCAGGCCCGCGCAGGTCCTTTGGCCCGGCGGAGCCCGCGGGGCATCGGCTTGGCCGTCGCCCGCCGAGCCGTGCTCGTCCTTTGTTGGTATCCGGCACACACACACATACATACGTAAGTACGTTCGTGCGTGCGTGCGTGCGTGCGTACATACATACATGCATGCATACAGACATCAATCCATACATGCATGCGTGCATCCATACATACATACATGCATACACACATACATGCATGCATGCATGCATGCATGCATACATACATACATACCTGCATACGTACCTACCGACCTACCCATCTACCCACCTACCCACCTACCCACCTACCAACCGACCCACCGACCTACCTACCACCTACCTACATACATACGTACATACACACAGACACCCTCCAATAGATTGTTCCTGGGCCTCATCGGGGGGGGGGGGCGGTGTCTAAGCCAGCGGTTTTGTACACCGCCATCCTCCCTGAAAATTCGTCGGCGGGTGTTTGTGTACCTAGGCCACCTAGGTGGTGTCCGAGCAGATGGGTTCGAAGGATCGCTCCGCATCGCCGATGCATCCGCGATGCGGGTCGATGTGGAGCCCGAGTTTAACCACGCCGACGTTGCCGATGCATCGCCGATGTATCGGCGATGCGGCGAGATCCTCCGACCCCATCTACTCGGACCCCATCGAAGAGGCCTCTAGTGTGTGTATACATAGATATGTATGTATGTATATATATATACACGAGGCGTATGGCCCCCCCTTCTTGAGCGGCAGGCAAGAAATGACGCGGACCTCTGGACGTTTATGTTTATGTGGTTCTTTCTTTTCCCAGTTCAGGCCCCAGGACGAACAGAGTACAGCCCACGGCGTGAAATTGTAAAATGATGGGGCCGGCAGCTCGTAGGGACCGCCGAGAGAGCAGATCGGTCAAGATTGGACGGTTCACGCGGTGTCAGAGATCATGGTATGCATTGCCAGGGCTGGAATTTGCCGTATCTTCTCTTCCAGCCGGTGAGAGACAGACCTCCTCTCCAATTCTTCTGGTAGTTGTGGCGAGATTGGACAATATGAGAAGGAGGAGGAGGAGGACGACGACGAGTAGGAGAAAGGGGAGGAGGAGGGGGAGTTGAGGGAGGCGGGGAGGAGGAGGATGAGGGAGGGAGGATGAGGAGGGAGGAGGAGGGGAGGAGGACGGAGGAAGGAACAGGGAAAAGGACGAGGAGGAGGAGGAGGATCAGGAAGAGATCTGAGACCGCTGGCTCGCTCTGCCGAGTGCAGTGTCGCCCCAGCGCAGGTGGAGGAGGAGGAAGCGGACAGGCGGCGCGGCTTCTGCGGAGCCCCCGCGCGAAGCTCGGGAGTTCTGCCACCATGAGGGGCCTCCCAGTGGGGCGCTCTTGGGCGGCGTCTTGCCTCCGAGGCGCGACAACCGCATGCACGTAAACTCTTGGAACACACATCACCGCGGCATCTTTCTCATCCTCCCCATCGGGGAAGAGTAATCGCCGACCTTCAAACTATTTGTTGGTACGTTCTCGTCCCCACCCTCCCCTACCTCATCCCTCTCTCTCTGTACACGTAGCAGACATACATATACATACATGTGTTCTCCGAACATACTTACATGTGGTCTCTATACATACCTCCCTCTCGATCTGTACATTCAGATACAGACTTACGTGTACATGCATATGAAATTACATCGGAACGTTTGTGTGTGTGCGTTTTCCGATGCTGCTGCGGCTCCACAGGTGATCCAGGTTAGGATAGGATCGGCGCGTTGCAACCCTTGTTCAGAACGGCGGTCTCGCCCCAGCGCGGGCGAGCCAGATTTCTGGAGCGGATGCCTTCCTCGTCGTCGCCGCCCCCCGTTTCCCTTCCTCCGCCTTCCTCTGGTCGTCCAGCTCCTCCCACTCCCCCCACCCCCCCAGTGGGGAGGGCAGGGAGGGGCTTCGCCACGACTACGATTTCCTTCTGCTTCGTGTTCGATGTTCTTTTACTTCGGGCGACGACGATGACGACGGCGACAACGACGACGGTGATCCACGCAAGACGACGACACCGGGATGCGTCTCCCACACGCCGACAGGGTCGGCGGATTTTGTTTATGTCTCTCTCTATATATCTCTCTTTCTCTTCCCCTCTCGTTCTATACAACACCACCTATGTTTATACGCATGCGTATATATATATATAGATATGTCTCTTCCCCTCTCGTTATATACACACCACCTATGTTTATACGCATGCGTAAATCGACCTCCCTTCCTTCGACATAAGGAAGCTGCTGTTGCTGGTGGTAGTGATCTCTGCCGCTCTCTCGCCCTCCATGCTTCCCTCCACACCCTCTCTGTCGTTGTTCCCTCCCTCGCCGTCGTCGTCGATCCGCCCCTCGTCGCTGTCGTCGTCGTTCCCCCTCGTCGTCGTGGTTTTCGCCCCTCGTCGTCGTCGTCGTCGGTCACCCCCTCTTTGGTGCGCGCTGTGCTTGACAAGCTGTTTCGAGAGGTTCCTCGTCCTCCTCCCTCCTCCCCCCGCTGATCCTCCCCTGTCCTCCCCCTCCCTCCACCTTCCTCCTCCACTCTCCTCCGCCTCCTCCAGTCTCATCCCTCCTCCTGCCTCCTCCCTCCCTCCCTCCCTCCCTCCCTCCCCAACGCGGGTCTCACAAAAACAGCGCTTTCCAGACCATGGAAGAGGGCGTCAACCACTGCAAACCCTGCTACGAGGACGCGCACCCCGAGCCTCTCTCTCCCTCTCTCTTGTTTTGTTGTGTTTCTTTTTCTCTCTCTCTCTCTCTCTCTCTCTCTGTCTCTCGTTCTCTCTCTCTCTCTCTCTCTCTCTCTCTCTCTCTCGCTCTCGGAGGAGGAGGAGCAGGAGAAGGAGGAGGAAGGAGGGAAGGAGGGAGGAGTAGGAGGAGGAGGAGGAGGAGGAGGAGGATCTCTCGTCTTTCTTGTTTTCTCTCTCCCTCTCTCTCTCTCTCTCTCGCTCTCTCTCTCTCTCTCTCTCTCCTTGGGCCACCCGCACCGCTCTCGCGAGGAGAGCACGCCCGTGGGGCTGCCGCTGATCCAGGGGGCTTATTCGACTCCGACTCGTTTCGACTCGATGTCGATCGGTTCCGATGTCGATTTGATTCGACCTTG